TATAATTTGAAGGACTTTCCAATTTAGGTGTAAAATTCCATTCGAATTTTCACTCCATGTGTCATATCCTCTTCTTCCCTCTATTTTCCAATCCATAATGAATGGAGGTTTTGTGGGAGTTAATGGTGGTTGTAGGGAGTTGTGTTTGAATTTCAAATTCAAACTCCCTCCAACCCTTTTAATAACTTGTGGGTAGAGCCATCCCACATGAACATCCCACGACCCGTATTTTTTTAACAGTACGATTGAAAATGATTTTATTTTTTTGAGGAATGAGACTCAAATAAAGACTAATTCAATTTCAAAAGTCATGATACTGCAAGATTAAGCCCGAAAATGGAGAACTCTTCCGAAGTCACAGAACAGTTGCTTCACTTGAAATTATGTTGTGTTCTAGCGACTATAATTCTTGAATGAAAGGCAACTAGAAACCCGAGTAATCAAAATGACATATGGATAATGTTGGAATTTGTATAAAATTGGTTAAGTATATAATCATGGAAAGATCTCTTTTTTGTCATTTCGACCAAATATTTGAAATTGATTCGATAGTCAAATTATGAAAATAAATAGATTAACTTGTTCTACTCGTTGAATAGATTGTCTGGTATATTTGAAATCTCAAAACAAATTCCGTACGAATGAGAAGTTGCAGTCCAAAGTTAGAAAAAAAGAGAGGAAAAACTGACTAAAAATTTGCCTAATTCTATCGCTCGTTTAGCGTTCGAGTTGTGAGACTATCGCTCGAGTGACAGACGAGCGACAGATCTCTACATAAAAATAACATTGTTATCCCTCAAGCGATGAGCCATTGCGACCCTTCATGAATGCTGATGAATTTTGGGGCTTATCTCTTCACTCACACTCTTCACTTCTATAAATAAGACTCTTGAAACATTCATTACTTCATCCCAATCATACGCAATCATAGTATAGCATCAAAATTCATATTTCCTTAACCGAAATTTTGCATAAAATTATTTTTTCATTTCATTCGAAAAGAGTACAAAATTCATATTTTTGGTTTGTTGTTATTGTGTTTGGAGTGTTACAGGCACAAAAAATTAGTCGTTGTATTTTGGGAGTTGATTGTCATCCTCCGTAGGCATCATTGTAAGGCAAAATCGACTTAAGGACAAAAAGAACAATTCTTCCTTGACTTTGCATTCATTTCCTTACTTTGTCCATTTTCATTGGCATTTAGCACCATGATATACTACTGTGAACGTGAAATCTACCGCTAATTTGTAATCCCTGACCATCCACAATTTTTGTACCTCTAAAATAGGGCATTTGAGCGATTACTTAAAATTTTATTTACTTCTAAGTAATTTTTTTCTCGTTAATTGATCTTTCTCGTTAATTGCTATGTAACACTCCAAAAACAAAACTATTAAACTGATGGTTGTTGCAATATCTTTATGGGAAATTTAAATAGACCTTTTCTTCATGGTGTATTTATATTTATCTTCTAAATTTACACTCTACATGCTAATTTTACAATGTGTTAACAAAAAATAACTTTTGCAAAAATATTACAAATTTATCATGTAGTTAAATAAATATCCACAATTAAAAATAACAAATTATAACATTTGTATTATATTAAGCTCTTGTTTAATCCCCATTTCTCTTAATACATTTTTTCTAAAACTCATTTTCAATCTAAAATCTATTAATCCAAAAAAATGGGGCTCAAACAAGGGCTAAATGACACTTTACTAAGAAATGTCCTCTTGCCCACGGTGGAAAATCTTATCTTAGCCATTTGGAACGGTTCTTACATTTGGAGAGAATCATAAGTAAGATTCTCCTGCCACATCAACAAGTTGACATTCTTATTGTTAGGTTGAAACTCACAAGCGTACGAGATCGTTATATAAGTAATAAGATTTGTGAGTTAATAATATCGTTCCTATGAGGAATAAGGTATACTTTGTAGTTCAATAATTTTTATCAAATCCGAAATGTAGTAATATCAAAAAAGAATTGAGTTTTGTTATTTAGACTAATTTGTACTTTAAGAAGCAAATAAATATGACGTTTTATCTATGTCAATGCTTGTATTGGATTCATGTATTTTTTGACTATTGATAAAGCTAATATGTTAAATACTTTCTCCCAATATACATCAACTTATGACCAATACGAGACGATCATATTCCTAATCTGAATTCATATGAAACTCATGCATTTAGTGTATATTATCAACAAGATTGTACGTGTGAAAGTGAATATTCATAATTCTAACTACACATGTTGATTTTACCGTATTTTAGACTTATTGTGAGTATTCATACACTACAACAAACAACTAATTATTGAACCGATAGTCAAACAATCAAATAGTGCAATAAATATGTAAAATCAATCAAACAATACAAGAACTTTCTAAATTACAGTCTTGAATTGATACAAAAGAAAATAGGGTTCAATCACTTATTCAATACAATTGAAAAAACTAGCCCAACATGTTTATAATCAATTTACAAAAAAACAATTGGAAAATCATCACTCGAAAAGAAGAAATAATGAAGAATTATGAATTTCCTACGTTCTCGATATGAATCTTGAATCCGGATGAAGAATCTTTAATATCATATTCAATTCGCCTTGATTCTACGTTGTTATTCTTGTTCTTCGCCTCCAAAATTGATTAGAATCTATGAATTTTTTAGGTATAAGGAGGTTCCTCACGTTTTAGACTGCTTATGCTATATATAGAGTGCTAAAATATTGCATACCAAAAGTTTTCAAAACAAAAATAAGGAAATACAATTTTTTTCCTGGAATTGTGATAGACTCCAAATAGCTCGAGCCAACCCCAACGAGGTTTGAGTGTAGGCCATGTGTACACATTGTATTGCCATTTTTGAACCAAATTGTATATTAGTCCTTAACTTTTTCAAGTGTGTATTTTGATCATTTTCGACAATTTTTTCATCTAGTTGGCTTCTCTTCATCTCCATTTGACCCTCGACATTCTTGAATCGCCATCTTTCAATCTGACACAACTATTGGAATGTTACACTTTAGTCCCCACAATTTAGATTTCATAATTTTTCTTCAATTTTTCGTTCTTTCTTTCGATTCTTTATGCAATTATCGAGTTTTGCCTATTAAACACAATATAA